CCAGCCTATTTACAATTCTACTGAGCAAAAATTAAGTATACTGGGATTCCCAATAATCAATATGGGCCAAAAAACAGAAACACACTATCCCTATATGATTTCACAGTCAATTTTCTTAATTCTTTAGATGCAATGTGTTCGATCGGCAGACCAAAATTCGTACAAATTCTATGTATTGGTTCTGAAATAGATTCAAATGATACAGCCTTGATATTTTCTCACAGTATTTCTGTATATACAACCTGCAACGTTTATTTTCCTTAGTTTAATACTTTTCTTGTAACTGCCCTTTTAGTGTCATATACGATACTCGGACAAAAAAATGATAACAAAGTGGGAACCTTAGAGCTGAATGGACAGAGCTCCTGAAGAAGACAACACTGAAAAAGATCACGTGGATCTTCACCCCGGGCCATGCTGGAGTCCAAGGTAATGAGCGGGCTGATGAGCTCGCTGTGAAAGCAAAACGAGAAGGGAAGCTGTGCCCTGACAAACATGAAATTGTACGGTCAGTCAAGGAAAAACGGGAAAAAGAACAAGAAGAGACGGAATGCCATCATCTTGACCGACTTCGTGAGCTTGAAATTGCAGAAGTTCAAGACTGAGTGGGAGGAGCAGACGGATATGGAATCAACCATTACTTGGAACCGTCAGCATCTACACACTTCGAGATGTGCTTTTTCAGGGGACGGAGCGCTTATGGGAATGCTCCTTGTGCAGCGATGTCGGTCCTTCACACAAGTAAACAAGTAAACAAGTAAACTGATATTGTCAATATTTTTTACACTGACTGAGAACTTATTAAAATATCACAATAATCTTTTAGTACTTTGCAATTATATTATCTAAAAACAGTCATGAAAAGTAAGACTGAGCTGTGACTTATACTTTTAGAAATATCTCTGCATAGGTGACCCATCACTTAAGAAAATCATTGCTTCTGATCTGTAACAAAGAAAGATACAGAAGGTCATTTTTACCATCATCTATCAAAATGCTTCCATCTTAACCATCTTGTTTAGTGTACTTACGACCTTAGAGCATGCATCAAAGTAACATTGAGTGTGTATCTAGCTTACGATTATTATCGTTTATATTGCAGCTCATTTATATTATGAATGTGATTGTAAGCCTACTTGTGTGTGCATGTGCGTGCACGTGTGTGTGTGTTTGTGTGTGTGTGTATGTGTGTGTGTGTGTGTGTGTGTGTGTGTGTGTGTTTGTGTGTGTGTGCGTGTGTGTGTGTGTACTCGTGGTGGAACACCAAACCAATGTGCCAGGATCTGGACAATAAACTTATTGTTTTGAGAAAACCGAAAAAAATCCCGAATTCATACATCTCTATATCAACACAATGTTAAAATAACATGGCATATGTGAGCACTTTATAGATGCTTTAGACACTTGAAAATATTTCCAATCGATAGAGCAGATGTTGCTCTACTAAAAGAGTCCAAAATCGAAAAAAAGGATACCAAAATCGACTTTTTCTGGCTGTTGGCTACTGCCGTGGTGTACCTTATTGTCCCCCTTTTGGAATGGCTTAAAGACAACTTCAGTCAGTAGCACTGCCCTGGTGGGGGGGGGGGAGGAAATCTACTTGTGATACAGTAGTCAGGCCATTCCATCCGTGCCAGGCCTTGATTTAGCTTAATCTGTGTGGCACTATAACGTGTTCGTTATCATCATGTCGTGTCGTGCTAAGTGCATAGTCTGATCATCATTTCTCCATTGCCTGTGTCTTTATTAGGTTGGGGTCCCTAGTGCTCTTCCCTCTGGGTTCTTCTTTGTCCAACTCTGCCGAAAAAATCTCCCAAGATCAATAAAATCTTCAATGTAGTTGATAGTGTTAATTTGGTCACTCGGGTCTTGTAGATCTGATTATCTATCTTTTACTGCACTGCTGGTGTTACAGGGAGCGTATGTTTGGGCTACCGGACTCGTAATCGTGAGGTTGTGGGTTCGTGAGTTCTAGCCGGGGACCCGACGTTGTGTCCTTGTCCGCATGTTAGTGTTTTAACGCCTATAAATGGCTGCTTGCACTGTATGCTTCCCAGGAAGTTGAGGTTGTTTCAGAATGCTCTCAGGTCTGATGGGGTAATAGCATAGATTGTGAAGCGCATAGAGCGTTCTGTTAAGCGGGCATTTGCGGTATACAATAAATGCTATCTATTTTCTATTATTTGGATCATGTACCTTGCTGTTTTGTCACCCTCAAAGAGTTTTCTCTCTGAAATTCGGTTGATTTCCCTGATTGTGTCAATTTTGGCCGGGTGTATGATGGAAGCTACACAATGTTTGGCTCTCTCATTTTCAAGTGTTCCAGTCCACCGAACTTTACGGTGACATTAAAGATAGTTCCAGTAGGGAACGGGATGGACGGCCCCAACGTCCCTCATGACTCATAGGAACAGAAGAAGATAGCACTAACGCAAACGTTACTTAAACACAAATGGGTTTGTTTGTTTTTTAAATTGTTTTTTGGGGGGATGGGGGGAAAGAAAATTTTAGTAGACCTAGCATGAGAGGTGCTTTACACTGAGAATTTGGGTTACAAAATGTGCTAAATCTAATGTTTTCAGTTCCAATTCTAATTCCGCTTTTATGTGTGTGTGAATAATATGCGATCATAACGTTACGTTTCTCACAATGTGCTGATACTGTCATAATGACCGGGACAGTTTTGTCCAGAAATAGCTAAAGAACTGAGGTACCCTATCTGTGTCCTGGTCCGTGGGGACAAGAGACGGTTGTGTGCTCCGCGCGCTGGGTGGGTGCAAAGTAGTGCAGTGCGGTACAGCGAGACCCAGTGTCGGCACTTTCTCGGCATTTCATTTTCGGAATGAGCGTATCAAAATAATCCAAGTGGCTCGCGTGGAACCTGATTTGATGCCATATTTAAATTTTAAGCAAACTTCGTTTTTCATTGTCAATTTTGAATCTGAAGTCATGTATCAAGGTCACCCGCTGCGTTGTGCATCTGACGTCACAGCTGCTATAGGGCCTAGGCCTACACACTGCACACTTCCCGTAGCCCGGTTTAAAAAAAAAAACCGTTGGTATCGGCTTCTTCCCAGAGCCGGTACTGGAGGCCTGCGGCCGGTACTGACACCTCCTTCGGTAGAACCGGGAGTTCCGGTACTGGGTGCCGGTACCTGCCCATCCCTAGTGGAAAGTGCTAAGTAAGTTAGTGAGTGTATTTAGTATTTAAGGCCATTGACCTATATCACATCATATAAAACGCCCATTTGTTAAATAAGATTTCCATAATGAAAAGGTACAGGTTGTGCACACATCTCTTATCATGAGTCAAACATTACTTTAATATTTCTGTAGCCAGGTCGAGTCAGGCTGGGAGGAATTAACAATTTCCTTTGATGGGCAAATTTTGGACAATAGAAAATAAAGTGAAATTCATCTTCAATTTCATGAGACTTGCACCTCTCACATAATAAGGGTGAATGTTGGGAAGTGTTAAACTCTTACTAAAACAAAAATGAGTCAGCCAGAACCAGGGATCCTCTACTTTGTCCTGTTTCCACGTCCCACAGCAGAAGCAAAGGGATGGGCTTTAACTGGGACGCCGGGTCATATTTTGGATCTCTGTATCTGTGATAGGCCTTTGTCCCCACCCGACGCACCCCGATAAGATAATCTGCTCTAAAAAAAAAAAAAGAGAAATAAATAGAGAAACGTCGAACTGATAAGAAACTCATCTGTCACGACTCGGTGGAATCACGACGCGGTGGAATCACGCGCTCGTAATTTTTTTCGGGAAATGTGGAGTTATTAGTAGCATCTTAAAGTCTTTTCATTTGCCTTGCTTTTGATAAAGAAAATAGCTAGTTATCTTGAATAGAAGTCGAGGTATTTGCGGTTGAAGGAGGTAGGGGTCGTCTCGTGTCAGAGGTGAAATTAGCGAGAAAATGACCGCCAAAGTTTGGTGACTTCCATATCTTAAGTGTCCTTGGAAATCGCAAATTTTCTTTTTTTTTCGCATTTGATCAACGTTTCACAGTAAAATTCATACAGGTATATTTTTTATGAACTTAAAAGGTTTTGATCTAGATCAGAACAAAAATATCTATACAAATTGACCAACTTGCAGAAAGAAGATCGATTTCTTCAATGTAATTGTTTTGACCAGCGCCTGATTTCACTACGGTGCCATACGTTCCATATAGGACGCATGTAAGCTTTGGGGCCTACTGTAGTTCTCCAGTACTGTAGGCCAGATTAAACAGCTGGCACTTGAAACAACGGATGTCAAGGACGTGGGGGTGGATGTAACTGTGTTAAACGTGTGCTTATGTCTACTGAAAAGGGCGGTTCCCTATCTGAGTGATAGGGTTTAGTAGATCGTGTCATTGTTTAAAGTTTTGTGTTTGTCTGTGTGTGTGTG